GAAATCAAGAGAGAAATAAAAGTATTCCTAAAACTAAATGAAAATAACACAGCACAATAAAACCTTAATTAAAAGCAGTCCTAAAGGGAAGTTTATAATTCTAAGTGCCTACATTAAAAAAATCAGAAAGAACCCAAATAAATGACTTGATGGTACAAGTCAAGAATCTGGAAAAGCAAGAGCAAACTAAACTGAAACCCAGCAGATGAGAAGAAATAAGAAAAATCACAGTAGAAATCAATGAAATAAAAATGAAGAAAACAACACACATGCACACACACACACACACACAAACCAATGAATCTAAAAGCTGGTTCTCTGAAAAGATAAACAAGATAGACATTTAGTCCAGCTAACCAAAAGACCAAATCCAAATCAACAAAATCAGAGACAAAAGGGGAAACAGCAGACACTGAAAAGATCAGAACACTATTAAAGGAATACTTTAAAAACCTGTATCATATTTTATTAGAAAATCCAAAACAAATGGACAAATTTCTAAATTCAATGGAACCACCCAAGTTAAACCAAGAGTTCAACAACTTAAACAGACCCATAACAAATAAGGAAATCAAAAGAGTAATACAAGACCCCCTGATTAAAAAAAAAACACCCAGGCCCAGATGGATTCACAGCAGAATTTTACCAGACCTTCAAAGGAAACTTACAACCAACACTATTTAAAAAGACAGAAACAGATGGAGAACTCCCAAACTCCTTCTATGAAGCCAGAAACAGCAAAGAAAATATAGGCCTATATCCCTCATGAACACAGATGCAAAAATTCTCAACAAAATATTTGCAAATTGCATACAGACACACATGAAAAAGATCATCCACAATGATCAAGTTGGCTTTATTCCAAAGATGTAGGGATGGCTCAATATACTTAAGTCAATAAACATAATCATCTCAATAGATGAAGGTTTTTGACAAAATCAAAATCCAACATGCATTCATGTTAAAAGTCCTAGAGAAAACTGGACTGGAGGGAACATACCTTAGCATAATTAATGCCATATACAACAAACCCATAGCCAACATCATTCTAAATGGAGAAAAATTGAAGAATCCCCATTAAAGTCAGAAGCCAGACAAGATTGTCCACTATCCCTGCCCCCTTTTAATATAGTGATTGAAACTCTAGTTAGAGCAATGAAAGAAGGAAATTAAAGGGGTACTAATTGGAAAAGAGGCCAAATTATCTCTATTTGCAAATGATATATTATATATGAGATCCCAAATTTTCCACCAGAAAAATTAACACTTTCAGCAAAGTGGCAAGTTACAAAATCAATGTATAAAAATCAGTAGCCTTTCTATATACAAATAAAAAGCAATCAGAGAGACAGTTCTGGTAAGTACGCCCATTCACAATAGTCTCAAAGAAATTTAAAATACCTACACATGAACCTAATTAAAGACATTAAAGACCTCTATAATGAAAACTTTAAATTTTTTATTTATATTTTTTATGTTTATGCATGTATTGCCTGCATGTAGGTAAGTGCACCCGTGTCGTGCAATGCCCACAGAGGAAAGAGGCTGTTGGATCCCCTGGAACTGGAGTTACAGACAGTTGTTAGCTGCCATGTGGGTGCTGGGATTCGAACCTGTGTCTTCTGCAAGAACAGTCAGTGTTCTTAACCTCTGAGCCATCTCTCCAGCCCCGAAAAACTTTAAACCTTAAAGAGGAAGACACAACATGGAAAGATCTCCCATGATCATAGATTTGTAAAATACTGTGACAATAATATGATCATAATACAAAAAGGAACTTATAGTAGATTCAACACAATCCCAATAAAAATTCCTATGATATTCTTCACAGAAATAGAAAAAAAAAACTATTCTAAAATTTATATGGAATTACAAAAGGCTATGGATAATGAAAGCAATCCTGAGCACAAAAGGCAATGTTGAGATTACTATACATACCAGATCTCAACACTACCACAGAGCTATAGTCCTAATAATCCTAAAAACAGCATAGGGTGCTGGAGAGATGGCTCAGCAGTTAAGAGCACTGGCTGCTTACAGAGGACCTGGGTTCAATTCCCAGCATCCACATGATAGCTAAAAACTGTCTGGAACTCCAGTTCCAGAGGAATCCAATGCCCTCTTCTAACTCATCACACGACATAGGTGCACTTACATACATGCAGGCCATACACTCATACACAAAAATAAAAATATTATAAAACTTGAAAGAGGAGCATGATTCTAGGGAAGGGAAATAAGGAGCAGGTAATGCAATACATGTGACATGAAAGCAGAGGATCAGGGGCTACTAGAGGGCCTTCAAACAGCAAGGGAGCCGGACAACTTCTTGCTCACCTCCCACCTTCTGGTCACCTGATCCTTCTGCTTTCATGTCACATGTTCCATTACCTGCTCCTACATGCACACACACACACACACAAATTAAAATCTGGGTTCTATATATGAGAGAAAATTTCCTACTTGAATTTCTGATTCTGGCTTATTTAATAGCTTTACAATTGGTACTTTACATTTGGGAAACATGCTCAATTTCTTTTTTATCTACTTATTCTGATTCATGTTGTCACCATATTGCCTGTGCTTGTATGTGCTCAGTGGGCACACGATCCTCCTAATACTTAGGACTACATTTATGCACCATTGTACCTAGCTTTTGAATTTTTAAGTGAAGAGTTATTACAACTAAATTTTTTAGTTAATCAATAACCCTACTTGGTAACTGATGTAGATATTATGATCTTCCAACTATATCCCATTTCACTTAGACGTTCTACTTTTTGCTACCTGAGAAAAAGAAGGCATTTTTTTTATAAAGTTTTATTGAATTTCTGTGAATTTCATACAATTCATCTTGATCATATTTAGGCCCCCTATTTGTACCCCCTCTGGATCTCATGAATTCTGTCATACACGCTAAAGTTCATTAAGTCACATTTGTATCCACAAATGTTCCTCAGCATGATTCCATCCACTGGAGCTTAGTCAACCTATTTGGAGTCACTCTCAAAGAAAACCACCTCTTCTTTCTACCAGTAATTATCAGCTGCCAGCAGTTGTCAAATGTTGAATATGTACTTAAGAATGTCACAATGAAACATCATCGGTTTATGTTACCTTAAAAATTAATTTTAAAAATGTCTATGGTAGCTCATAGACATCTTGAAGTTGCACTGTTTTATAGTACAAAACAGATCAAGTCTCAAATACACTAGGTTCATAAAAACAAGGCTGGGGCTGAAGAGATGGCTCAGTACTTAAAAGCACTAGCTGCTCTTACAGAGGACCTAGGTTCACTTCCCAGCACTCACATGGCAGCTATCAGTCTTAAAACCCCAATTCCAGGGGTTCCGACATCCTCTTCTGGCCTCTATGCACAGTGCACAACATGGGTGAACTTATATACATGCACAAAAAACAGATACATATAAAATAAAAATAATAAAATATTAAAAAATAAAAATAAAAAAGTCTGCTTCCTATTTAAGAAAGTCAACTGCTGCTTATCAAGATTGTTCACTAGCACAAGAATTCTCAAATGGCTTACCATACTCCCCTATTCATGTGTCAAAATCAGTTGTCATCAAATTAATCAAGCAGCACAATATATGCTACATTTCTCTTACAACAAAAATTAATACTCATTTTATCTTCCAACCAAATACATTCATGTGCCTAATATATATGTGGTGCATGTGCAGCGGTATATGTAAACATAGACACACATGCACATATTTACCCACACACACTTTTAGCTCCAAGGAGCTAACAATCTATGAAATGTTAATTCTATGATAACCTGAAGTTTGGGCACAGCCCAGGTTTTATTGCATTTTTATTTCTAAGGACACCACTTCATTCAAGTAGAAATGCTGTCACATTTCAAAAGCAGAGTTTCTCTTATAATTACTATGAAGACTTTGCTCTCTAAACCAAGGAAATCAAAAGTGAAGAATTAGGTATCCACAGAAAATGTATTAGAAACTAAATCTCCAATGACAGGTGTTTAAGTTATGAGCTCCACATCTTGTAGTTGATTGAGCATCAACCTCAAGAGAGATTGAGGCTGCAAGTTTGCAGCTACCTGCTCTCTCAGTTACTGTCACAGGATGAGGTCACTGCAAGATCTGCTAGATGTGGAACCTGAATATTGGAATTCCCAACTTTCAGAATGGTAACAAATTACATTTTTAATGTTACAAAGTATGTGCTATGTTAGCAGCAACACAAAAGACACTTAAAACATCTGCTATCTTATTCACTAGCATTTAATCTGACGGTATTTAATTACCTGTGCTATTTAAGCTTTTTTTAAAATTTGAACTCAGAAAATTCATAAAACTCAGAATGCTAATGTTTATGAAGTGCATCTCAGGGAAGACACTTGACTTCCAAACTTTAAGTGTGATTCTCAGAATCACCTAACCTTCTGCATGATTATCTATTTACAATTTAAGTGCAATATGGACAAAATTACTATGCTACCTTTAAACTACTATGAGTTCATTATGGTTCCCACCCTGTATTTGCTGTTTACAACAAAGCAAAACATTTACCTGACAGAAGATGCTATGATTTTAAGTGTCACTCCAAAGTTCACATTGAAAATTTAATCTCCAATGCAACAGTATTAGAAGGTAAGGTCTGTATGAGGTGATTAGGTCAGGAGAGCTCCTGCCTAGTAAGTGTATTAGAACTACGCTATATACAAGTATCTTCACATAGCCTCTGATGCTGTTTCTTCATCAATCCCACTAAAGACAGAACAGTCTGAGTCATCAAGACCAGGTCCTCATCAAACACTGAAACTGCTGGCCTTTAGAACTGTGAAAAATAACTTTCTATTAACTACAAATTACCCAGGTTTGGGCATTTTGTTATAACAACACAGACTATGACAGAAGAGCACACTGAAAGTACCTATTTCACAAAGTTCTCTTAATTTTTCCAATAAACCAAAAAGCTCAAGAAAATAAATCCATTATCTTATCACTAAAATCTGATATCTGCTATGAAAAAACATTTATTTTGGTATTTTAATTTAGAAGTAGGAAACAAATAGGAAAGGAAAAAAAAAAAAACACAAAGTATACAGGCACAATTTACTTCATGAGCTTCTCACACCCTCATTGTTCACTATGTCCATGATGAAAAAGGGTTCAGCCACCCCTGCAAAAGAAAGAAAGCAGCCATTTTTAAGCACAGGTACTAATAACAATCGAAATACAATACGCTATCATCTTATATAATCAAACCCAGTTACTTGGACCCACACCTAACTTTATCCAAGAAAGCATGACGAAATAATGCTAAGCTTCAAAATTTTGAAACTGAAGCATGTGGCTTCTGGGGCAAGTGTATCTGAACACTCACAAGTCTCCCCTAGGAAAACCATTTAGGAACAGCCTGGCTTACATGTCTTTCTGAACAAAGAAAAAGCATCAATCACATGACAGACGGTTGGCTGAGTTTCCCCATTCGACATATGTGGTAATAAAGCAGCTAAACCCAAAGGCTGCAGAGGACCACCACTGTTCTCAACCACTACACACTATCAGAATCATTCAAAAACCCGTACACACACTGGAAACAAAACTGGCACTTCTATAGACCCCTTAAATGTAAACATTAAAACTGTACTGTCAGAGATACATTTAGTACTGTAATGGCAAATAAAGAAAATATAATCCCATTACCAGATGAAAATTGTATACTCCTGAACATATATTTTATTGCTGCATATCCTATGTTAAGTTGTACTGCTGTGATTACAGCATCAACTATGTGATGGAATAGAACTCCTTTAAATTAAAATACTGTGTACATTCTTACTACAATTGTAAAAAAAACTACTCAAAATCTGTAAGGAAAAAAAATGATTACAATTTAATCTAGTGAAGGAAGCGTGGTCATATTTCCCTGCCATTATTTCAAAATGATTCATGTGGTGTTTCATATTTTTTCAAGTACCTAAAAAAATTTTCTTTCGGTTTTACAGTTATTGTACCCTAACATCAAAAGTGTGTATTTTCAGTAGCTTTTCACATAAAATACTTTACTTAAAGTAAAAAATAGTGAATAGGAGATAACTTGTTAAACAAAACAGTTTTTTAGTTACAAGCAACTAGCTTCCAGAATGTTTCATATCCTGCTTAGGACCCACTACATTACTTACTCTCTCTATACCTCAGCTTCCCCCTAAGGATTAAAATAGCTAACTTACATTCAGCAAAAACAGTCTGTGTGGCACAAGATAAGACCTCAGTAAAAGTTTGTTATTATCCTAATAATCATCATTACTAGAAAAAGAATTTGAAGTCATTTGCTTAATGCAAATAATTATTTACTCAGTTTTTTTGTGGCTATAAAAGGGCGCTGGACTAGTTTCTTTGAATAAGCAAAAAAACCTGTATCTTTATATATTATGTACAGGAGTAGGATCACTATAGAAGTTTCTTCACACAGCCTCTAATGCTTTCTGTCCTTCTGTCCCATTTACCATGTGAGGACAGAGTGTGAGTTATGAACCCACCAGTACTGCCTAGAACACTGAAAAATAAATTCCTATTATTTACAAATTATCCAGTTGGGCATTTTGTTATAGCAGCCCAGACTAAGACAGAACAACACTCTGACAATACAATATTTCACCAGTTCCTTTCCCTATAAACAAAAAAATAATAATTATAATAATAATTTAACATATTATATTAGTAGAATTTGATAAATTGTCTATAATGGAAAAATGCTTATTCTGAAATTTTTCTAATTTAGAAGTAAAACATCTTAAAGGCAAAATATGTGTGTGGAGAGGGTACAGAAAACCACAAAGTACACAGGCAAATAAATGATCAGACTGTCCTCCAAACTCCTAATCTTAACATGACAGACAGACATCTAAGTATGACCCAAGGTTGCCCAAAGTCTGGCAAGAAAGATAAAAACACTGCACTAAGTGAAGGTTTAGGAAAAAAAAACAACAAACAAACAAACAATGTACCAAAAAAATGCCAACAAAGCTTCATTTGTTCTGAAGGACAAAACTAAGAACAGTGAGAGTGACTATCATAGTAAACAAGCTTTGTCATTAGAGAAATACTTTCTACTAACTATCAGACCACAGGATGGGAAATAGGACAGAAGCACTGACTTGAAGACAGGCAATCTACTTCAGTTATAGTTCTAAAAAAAATAGTGATTTTCAGATGGAGCTACGAACTGTGCACCTCAAAACAATCACGATGCAGTACAAAGAGGACAGGACTCGTACTCAAAATACTTGTCTGCAACTGGACATTTCTTGAAGGTAATACTGTATGCCTTTATTTTTTTGACCCTGTAAAACTTTATTCATTAAACAAAATAGTACTAGTTAATAGAGTTGTTATAAAGACACAAAAGCATTTTGAAACTATTAGCAGATATATAATCATAAGCTGTACAACAGAATTAGAATGTCCTAGGAAATACCTGCATTAAAAAATAGCAGACTGTGTGGCCAGGTGTGGTGGCACACGCCTTTAATCCCAGCAGGTGGATCTCTGTGAGTTCAAGGCCAGCCTGGTCTACATAGTGAGTTCCAGGACAGCTGGGGCTACAGGGAGACCCTGTATCAAAAAGACCAAAAAAAAAAAAAAAGCAGACTTTTTAACTCAAATGGTTTCCCCTGTCATTCATTCCTAGTCTATTCCATAAAGTTACTTACACAATAATGTTATTTATAGGGATGTGGATCAGTTTCACAAAGAAGCCGATGAATCCCATTATAGCAAATCCTATTGCTGTGGCCATGGCAATCTTCTGGAATTCTAAATTTAAAACACAAAGTGTGTATTAATATTTTGGTATTGTCACTGAAAGTGAGGAAAACGGTCAGTGGCACTAATACATTTCCCAGCACATACTTCTCCTGATTAGTAGATACATAACCCTAAAAAGAAAAAGTGCGACTAGTAACAATAAAGAACTGGCCTAACAGGTTCCTAAATTCCACACTCTCTTGATCTTTAAGGCAACACAGAAATGAAAGTACTATGCTAGTGAGTTCAACAATACACACTAAAAATATTTACTCTTCTCAGTGACCAAAATACAAAACCCCAAACAACAAGAAAAAAAGAATCAAGGACAGCTTACACAGCACTTTGCATTATAAACTTTTTATGATAGCAGTGATTACAATAACAAAATTGTAACTTTTGGGGTACATTATAAACAACTAATTGCCTTTGACACAATGAAGTCAAAAGGCTTGGAGAGCCAAATAAAGGTAAGAACAAGGATATTATCTATAATTATATACATATATATATATATATATTACATTCTAACTTAATTCATGAACAGTAATAGACAAATTCTGAGGTACCTTCTAAGCTACAAATCATAAGTAAAATGAGCTGCCCAATTTGGCAACAACCATGCTGTTGATTTCCTGTTACAGTTTTGCTTACTGGTGATAAGGACAGAGCAGGGATGCTGTACAGGTCTTCACACACTGGTAATATGGGAAATGTTCCAAATGCTGAAGTCATTAGTAAGTCGTACACAAAGTAAAAGGGGCAATGGGAGGAAACAATGCAGTGCTCTGGTTTGCCGTGGGCCCGTGTGCTGGACCACCGAGCTTCATTTCAGTTCTGCAAAGACTTTTAGTCAGGAAGACGTTAAACACAATACTTAAAAAATTCGGACATAGGGGCTGAAGAGATGACTCAGCAGTTAAGAGCACCAATTGCTCTTGCAGCCAACCCAGGTTTGGTTCCCAGTACGCACACAGTGACTAACAACCGAATTCCTTAACTCCAGTTTCAGGGGATCTGACACCCTCTTCTGACCTCCATGGGCACTGCACCACACAGGTGCAACTTACATACAATGCAGGCAATATACTCAATACACATAAAACAAAAATAGTAATTTTTTTAAATTAAAAAATTCAGACATTTAATTGTTTCTCTCATGTTAAAGCTATTACCTTTTCTATCAGGTTTGGTGCATCTTTTAACCAGTCGAATTGAGTCCTTTACAAACTGCCGACTTGGCTCAACAAATTGCATTACCTGATCCATGATTGACTGTTTAAAAAAAATAAAAGATGTTCAGTCGTCCTCCTTTACATATTAGAACTTGTTGAGTTATATACAGATGTAAACGAGACCATTTATGCCTGACATAGGTAGATTCCAACTCCTAAAAACAAAGCAAACTTCAAAGTGGAGGCACTTCAAAGTGGGTTCTTTTGGGTATCTAGCATTTAAAAGGAATGTTATTCAATATTACTTAACTTTGGAGTTATGGTATAAGAGCTAATGAAGCCAGGGTATCTATAGTTTATTTCCATGTCTTAGAAGTTCAAATCTCTAGCTAAAAAAAAATAATAATAATAATAATAATAATAATAATAATAAGCCCCTCTAAGCCCTCTAAGCCCCAGTGTCCTTGACTAAGGTGCAGGGGACAATTACCTGAACAATGTATATGTAACTCTTAAGGTACACACCACGGAGTCTATAAACAGTCTGTGACAAAAGCACAGTCATCCCTATTTTCACTTAGGTCTGTTCTAGAAATGCAGCGTTCTTAAATCCACACTAGAGGAAGGACTGTAGACAAGGTGAGAAAACATGCAATAGTGCACTAGGCTCTCTGGATCGTCTGGAGATTCTATCCAACACTTGCAATTTATGCCCTGGACACTCGCAAACAATGCCCGCAAGAACACCAGGAGGCTCAGGGCCACAGGCTTTGAGAAGGCACCAGAAGCCAGAGGCTGGGTTCATCTACAAGGGAGTATGCTGAGCGAGGAAGCTGATCTCCAGACCAGGGCTCTAAACCCTTAAGGTTCACAGGTCGTGGATCGTCCTCCCACGCTGGCTCCGCTCCAGGCTTCCTACCACCTGAGGCTGAGCAAAGTGCTGCGGTGCCCCGACAAAAGGCATCTCTCACCGCCCTGCTCCGCCGGCCCTCCGGTCTCCGGGCCCAGCCCCTAGCCCCATCCCCTCCTTCCCTTCGGCCCGCAGGTCCCCTAGTCCCTGGTCGCCTAGTTACCGTCCCTTGTCTCTCCACTCCATCCCCGGTCTGTTCCTCCACCCCCCCACCCCCCACCCCCCGATAGTGTCCGCAGTCCCCGGCCTTCTTGTTTCCCGTCAGCCCGCCCCTAGACCCCGTCCCCCGTCCGCGCAACCCTTGTCCCTTGGCCGGTCCGCCCGTTCCCGGCTCCACAGTCCTTGGTCTCCCCGTCCCGGTCTCCCCATCACCCTCCTCCCTGTCCTTGGTTCCCCCGTCCGGATCTCCCCATCCCCGGTTCCCGCAGTCCCCGGCCCACGCCCCCGAAAGACCCATACTTGCGGGATGGCAACTTAAGAAGACAGAGACACGTAGCCCAAGGAGGGGACTGAGGCCCAACGGAACCGGAAACCGATTATCTTCCCAACATCCCGCCCACCTCTCCCTTCTATTGGTCCTTCAAGCAAAGACGTCACTGCGCAGGCTCAGAGTGACGTGAGGCTCCCCTGGCTTCCGGGTTGCGGCGCCGGCTGTGCCTGGCGTGATTAGAGATTAGAGGTTTATCCACCTCCGTCACTGGTTGCAGACCCAGGCCCACCCCTCTCCCGTATGTCCACCTGCCCAACTCAGGCCGTCGGAAAGCGGCCACAGCTGAGTAAATCCGTGGGGTGTATGGCAGTAAATGGGCTCCTGCATTCCAGCTCTGAGCCAGGAGAACATTTTGTAGATATATGGTATTAGTGATCAAAAAGGAAACATAAACATGACGGTATGCGCGGCCGGATTCAGAATAACATCTTTTACCAGAACGTGGCTTTCTACTGGCAGTCATGGGAATAGAGCGGGAATTAAGGCCTTGGCACGGGTGAAATGTGTATGTTGTTCATATGCCATTTGACTTACCTTGCTTTGAGACTGTTACCACATTTTGTGACATGATGATCTTATGTTTTCGTAACGAATCATCCTTCATAAAATTATTTACTGAACACATGTTGTGTTTTAACACTTTTACTACATGTTGCACCAAGCCAGACATTCCGTGCCATTCTGCAGTATATGGTCTAGTAAGGGAATCTACAGTGTAGAAAGATGGACAGACATATAACTGTGTATGTTAATATAAATGCTATGCAGTAAATAGTGGGAGGGAGAGACAGAAAGAAATAGGACTCCCTTGCGCGGCCACTGTGAGTCTCTAAGAAGGTAACACATGGGCAGAAATGCAAAAGCTAGAGAATTAGCCAAGTCATCTTAAATCTAAAAGCGGTTCCTAAAACTAAGTTAAGGTAGTGTAAGTAATGTGCATGATTACCTACAGAATGTATGGAAATGTAATAAAACACACCCACTGGATCATCTGGCTAGCAGTTCCTCGCTTAGGCATGAGGATTAAGTAGGACAGTTCTATTCAGTCTCAAGTTTCCAGGTGCAACGCTTTCTTGAGTGTTTTGAGTTAATACATGTTTCTTGGGTATTTTGTTTTAGAAAATACAACAAAATAGTACTTTTAGCATGTTAAAAAATGCATCAAAAAAGTATACACATAGAGGCCAGGTGTGATGGGGTGTGCCTTTAATCCCAGCCCTCAGGAGGCAGAGGCAGAGGGATCTCTGATATCCAGGCCAGTCTGGACTCCAGGAGGGCTGGGACTAGGGAGACCCTGTCAAAACAAACACAAAACCAGAAGTATACACGTAAGAAATGCCATAGACAACATGATGAAATTGTGCATATTGCATATATATGTATGTATAAATCTACAACATTTACCACTGTTGGTGCATACTTTTTGGAGCCACACAGATGCTGCCATTGTAAACTAAATTGTACAGCTTGGATTATTATGAGTCACAGTCATACTTTAAAACTGGAAACAATATCCTCAGCTACATTTTATATTTGTTTATTTATATGTATTTCTCGGACTCCACATGATCTAAATCAAAAGCCCAGTTATTTTGGAGGGAGTTTGAGGTTCAGTGTAGTGTTCAGCTTTAAAACACTATAATATTACCAAGCTGATTAAAACTACATTATATGCATTATATACATAAAACTATTGTCACATTCACCAGCTTTTAAAAATCACCATTTTAAGATATATTTTGAACCTCAATAACTTAGATCCCCAACTTAGAGCAGGAAGAATTTCAGGGTTAGATTTTTTCTAATTTCTGTTATTCAAATATGAGCAAAGAAACAGTGAAAATAAGCACTCCAAGTAAATAACCATATTTTCTTGGCGACCAAAACTTTATGTTTTGGTAACTGTAGTAATAGATTATTTTAAAAGATATCACTGGCTTTTTAAAAAACATGATCCTGAATTGTTTTTCACTGAAAATATTTTCCCAAAACATGAAATAACTTTGAAAAATGAAATCCTAGATACCTGTTAATAGGGTATTTTCACAATTTTAACGCAGGTAATGGGATTCAATAAGTGTAGCAATATCCATTGACTGTACTCTGTACTATGTAAAGACCAAGTGCCAGGAAAGAAAAAAACATAGTAAATGTCTTTGTGTGTTGTCCCAATACAGTATTAAACCAAAGTCTAGGGTTTCTCAGAGGAATACATATGTTGTAATACTAGAGCCGCATGTATCTCTTCCATATCCAAAAGCTGAGTTACAGCTGGATAAGATTTGTCATTTCCCACAGTGACTGTAAGCTCTGAATTAAAGGGGAAACTCTTGATTGTTTGTATGGGGCTATACAAATACAACTCTTCCAAATACCAGAGGACTTAATGGAGCACATTAAGAATATCTGAGGAGGGACTGGAGAGATTGCCCAATGGTTAGAGCACTGGCTGCCCTTGCAGAGGACCTGGGTTCAGTTTCCAGCACCCGTATGGTGGCTAACAACCATCTGTAACTCCAGCTCTAGAGGATCCAACACTCTTCTGACCTGTGCAGGCATTACATGCAGGGGTGTACTTAAATACATGCTGGTAAAACACACATACACATAAAAAATAAATAAACAGTACATAAATATTTTTAAAAAGGATATTCGAGGAATAGTTTTGCAGAATGATCTGTGGATGCCCTGCTGCAGAACTTGGGACTTCAGAACTGATGCCCCAAGGTCAGGTGAGGCTGGTCTGTCCAAGCAGCCTGGGGAGCATAGGGCTGCTGGCACTGTCCTGAGAACAATACCATCTAACTGAATGTAGATGACCACAACATAATATTTTCCATCTATCCATATTCCTGTAAGTTTAATAATTTCATTTTTCTTTACTGTTGAATATAATTCTATTGTGTTTATGTGCCATAGATTTTAACAGTTCTCTTCCAGAAATTCATAATTATGCTTTTAAAATGGAAACTTAGGAAAGACAGAAGATCTGAATAATACTAGACTTGACTGTCAATCCAGTAAGCACCCCCAGTAAGCTGTAAAATTCTGTATAGATGTCTGTGATGAGTTTACCAAGAAGGAAGATATGCTACCCATAGACAGTTTGGAAAATGTAGATGAATTCTAGTGGGAATGCAAAAAAAAAAAAAAAAAAAAAAAAAA